GACTCCATTCTCCATTTACTCTATTACAGTATTACTCCATTTACTCTATTATTTTATATTTTCATATGTTGATCCTTAATAGTATTTTATATGTTTTGTTTAACCATTTATTTCTTATTACTTGAATCATAGGAAATAGCAAGAATCCTGGAGGTTCTAAACAGTGGACTTGTAATCATTGTAAGGGCAAGTTTACTAGCACTTACACAAGGATTCATGTCCATTTTTTTGGGCCTGCTGCGGGAAAAAAGGCTGAGATAAAAAGATGCCCAGCCATATGTAAAGATCGGGAGATGTATGAAAGGCTTTTGAAGAAGGTAAAAGAAGCAGAAACTTCTGGAGTTTCAAAATCTTTAAGGAATTCAGTACTCTCCAAAGAAACGACTTGAAGAATCCTTTGGCGTGTTGGAGAGAAATGCTGTGGATATGAAGATCATTCGAGGATTGTGTGCAAACGGGATTCCATTCAATGTGTTACGCAACCCGCAATTTCTTGAAATGATTAGTGCCATCCAGCAAGCACCAGCAGGATACAAACCCCCGTCTTCTGAAAAAGCGAGAACTGTATTGCTTGATGAATGTGTACGCGATGTTGAGAAGGAGCTAACAACTTTTAAAGACACATGGTACACACAAGGAGTCTCGGTTGTCTCGGACGTGTGGTCTAATGTTAAACATAACCCACTAATCAATGTTCTTGGTGTCAATTCACGTGGTGCAATGTTTATGTATGCAGAGGACTTTTTAGGGGTGGAAAAAACAGGTGCTGAGATTTCTAAGTTTCTTCTTGGAGCCATCGAGACCATTGGACCAAGCGATGTCTTGCAAGTTGTAACTGATAACGCGGCTAATTGTGAAGCAGCCGGGAGGGAAATCGAGAAGGTATATAAGCATATCTTTTGGTCTCCTTGTTGTGTGCACACCTTAAATCTGATTTTTAAAGACATGGCAAAGCAGTTCTCATGGCTGCTCAACACATATAAGCAAGGCAAGACAATTGTAAAATATTTTCTCAACCATACCCATGCCTTGTCATTCTTTAGAGGAAACTCAAAGTTGGAGTTATTGAAGGTGGCAAAAACACGGTTTGCATCACATTATATACTTTTGAGAAGGTTAATGGATTGTAGAGAGGCACTTTCCACCACAATAGTCCTCAATTCTTGGAGGGAATGGGTCAAAAGTGGGGATGAAAAAATGCGAACAGATGGATATATTGTCACTGAAACGATTAAAGATGATGTGTTTTGGGAAGATGTTGAGAATATTTTGGCTTTTACAAAACCCATTTTTCTGATGGTGAAGTATTGTGATGGGGAAGGTTCAAAAATGGGAGAAATCTATGAAAAAATG